CGGGGGGGGCTGTGCCCTGCAGGGGAGACCCCAGACCCAAAATTCAGCTCAAAAAAAGAAACCCAGACCCCAAAATCCCCCTGGGAGCCCCAAAAATCCTCCCCAGTGTCTTCGGGGTGTCCCCAATCCTCGGTTCTGGCTCCGTCCCCTCCTTTGCTCTTTGTTCATTTTGTGCTGGGAGCTGCTGCTTGCTGAATAAAAAAGTTTTTTTTCTTTTTTTTTTCTTTTTTTTTCTCCAATTTTTTTCCCTTTTTTCCTAGAGGGATCTCGTTCAAAATTTTCCTCCCGAATTTGTCCTAAACCAGGACACCCAAGCACGAACATCACCCACAAATCCCCCCCCAAAAAAACCCAAAAATTCCTCTGGGACCCCTGAGATTTCCCCAACCTTCCCGACCCCTCGAAGACCCCCCAAAAAATCCCCAAAATCCCCAAATTTTCCCGCTCCCCGTCACTTCCAGCTCCCCCAAAGTTCCCCCCGAACCCCCCCGGACCCCTCCCCACCTGCACCAGGGCGAGGTCGTCGGGCTCACAGAGCATCAGCTGAGCCCCCAGATCGGCCATTTCTGGGGAGGGGGGTACTGGTTAAACTGGGAGGGGTCTGGGGGTTTTTTGGGGGTCTCAGAGGGGATCAGGGGGGCAGGAAGGAGCAGGGGTTGGGAAATTTGAGGATTTTTGGGGTGATTTGGGAGTTTTTTGGGTTTTTTTAGGGGGCATTTTGGAGTTCTCGAGGGAATTTTTGGAAGGATTTTGGGGTTTTTTGGGGGGGGCTCACCCCTCATTTGAGCATCCTCGGGGAGCGACTTCAGGTGGGCACCGAGGGGGGGGGAAATCCTGGGGGAGGGGCTGGGATTATTGGGGAACACCCAGTCCTGGGGTGCTCCCCCCTTGTAGGACCCTCCCCGACCCCTCCCCAGTACCGAGACCCTTCCAGAACCTCCCCAAATTCGAGCTGCCCCCCCCATCCCCCTTTTCCAAATCCCCCTTCCCGACCTCCCCTCTATTTCTGGGGTCCCCTCCCCGGTTTGGGGTCCCGTCCCCGGTTTGGGGTCCCGTCCCCGGTTTGGGGTCCCGTCCCCGGTTTGGGGTCCCCTCCCCGGTTTGGGGTCCCCTCCCCGGTTTTGGGTCCCCCGTACCTGGCACACAGCCACAGCAGCAGCTCCC